CAATGTTTTCTTTTTAACCAAACACTTATTTTTTTTCATATTTTATGATCATTTTAATTTTTTTCTCTTTATAAAACCTTAAAAAAATTATGTTAATTGTTCACATTTTTCGTTTTCGTTTAAGTATACATTTTCAATACATTTACGATAAATATAAGTATGGAGATCAAACAATTCAAATATATAAAACAATTTTAAAAAAATGAGCATAGCTATGTTGGATACATATCCATGTCTGACATTCACTCTTAAGTTCAAGTAACATAATAAATAAAACATATATATATATATAATTTTAATCAACCATTCCAAAAACAAATGCCAAGATTTGTTATTACATACTTTACATACAAAAAGACATCACTTATATTTCTTTTTATATTTGGAAGTTCACTTTTGATCTCTCTCTCTTTATATCTATACTACCTTATATAAAAAGGATCCCAAAGGATCCTCAAACTTACATGTATATGGTTTTTCTTTCCTTCCCATTGGTTTTTTCATTCCCACAGTTTTGATGGTTGAGCAAAAGCGAAGATAGTCTGTCACTAACAAAGTCCCACTCACTTATTCCCTAAGCAATGTTCTTCCATTCTTTTTCCTTTTTGCTCTTTCTTTCTCTACATCTTCATTTTTACTTTGCAACTAGTTTTAGGGTTTTTCGATCTCCTTTCCTGGATTCTTGATTTCGTTTCCCACCTCGACAGATCAAGATTTTTTTTTGTAAGCTCTTTTCTGGTCTAACTCTTTTTCAGTTTAGTTCTTTTCCAATCTGCTTCCTTTAAGAGTATTATCTTCTTCAGCAAGGGCTTCAAGGGGTTCAAAGCCGAAGAGGTCACAAACTTCCACATTTATTTCAAGTATAAATAAAAAGTCAATTTTATTATTTTTTTAAATACAAAATCATAAATTTTGGTTATAAGGTCAATATTGTATAGAGTTCTAATGGGAATTAGGGTTGGTGAAATTGGGTTTTATATATGATCATATTTATATATTGTTTTACCTGTTTTATTTAATTGATATTTGATCTACTTTTTTGCTCCATTTATTGTACTTTAATTTCATAATCAATTTTGCTTATGTCAGGTTAAGGTAATAAATAGATAAGTTGAACCTAAGTTTTGTTTTATTTTTTTTTTTAAGTTTTTAGTTGGTGATTTATTATTCTATGAGTATGGATTTAAAATGAGGAGAGGAAAATTGTGGTATAAAGACACCAAAGAAATCAAATAAACAACAAAGAGGTAAAAATTTGAGGATGAAGGGTACATGAGGCATTAATAGCAAAATTATGATCTTTAGAGCTAATAAAATTGATTTAAAAAGCTTAAATATGCAGCTGAGAAGCATTTGAGTAGGGTTTGGTCTAGAAACATTGAGAACCAAAGGCTTATGAGGGGTGGAAGATTGATTTGGCTAAGTTGGATTTAAGGCACATTATAGCTCATGAAACCTATAAGATAGTGTGTCGTGCCACTTATGATAATCAAGATGTTACAAGTGATTTTTTGTATTTGTTTTAATTCAATCTTTTGTTAAGGATAAAGACAGAAGAAAAAAAAATTAAAAACACAAAAATCACCTCAAAAGAGATAGAGAAATTAGGAAACCATATGAAATGAGACAAGATAAACTTGCAGTTAAAGAAAACTCCCTAATGAAAATTAAGAAAGCCTGAGACTCTGTTCAATGGGTGTTTAAATCAAACAACACAAATTGAATTACACCGTCAATTCATGAACAGTCCATTTAAGCTCATGTGAAAGCCTTTCATCTATATTCACATACACCATAACAGAATAAAAAACTCCACTCTTTTATAAGAAGTTCATTGGGAAATAAAACCCTACTTTCTTTTTCTATTTTCATATTATGACTTTGACTGAAGTTAAGGCACAAAGGATGTTATGTCTTTTATTTTTTGAAGTGGTATATTATGTCATCAACTTCATGTCATGATCATGTACTTGCCTTTGATTAGAAGAGATCTATCAATAAAATACTTTTCTTTTTATTTATTTTTTTTAAAGGCTTTATTTTATTATTTTGAAGAGATTAGAAAATCTTAAAATTTCTATGACTTTGTAAAGTATTAGATGCACTGGTCTTAGAAGATTTGGTTATTATATTTTGTTATGCGCTTTTTAGCTATATGATGTAGGAAAACAAATTATTGTTTAAATTTGATTACTGAGTAAAAAAAATTTGTCATAGAGATTTGGCTACTTAAACTTAGAATTGTAGTTTGGAATGCTCAAAAGTGCATAAAGGATTGCAAATATGTGAGGGTCTTGGTAAATAGCTGCCCTTATTATTTTGCCAACCATGTCTATATCTCTCTTACTATACATTTTACTTTTTTTCAATTTTATATACAATTTATCTAAACATTATTCGTAAAAAATGAAGGAAATGGCTAATTTGTTAGGAGTGTGAATTGAAATTATGAGTGGGGAAGTGAGGTAGGGAGCTGTGATAGACTGATAGTTTGATTTGAGAGTATGATTTTTTCCACAACTATATCTTTTTGTTCGTTTATATTTAGTTATTTATTTACAGAGGAAGAGAAAATAAAGAGAGTCATGCATTTATCTTTTAATTTTCTTTTAATATAACATTTAGATTGAACATTCTGTCATAGCTTGAAGAAAATGGAAGCAACTTGTATCAATCATTGCATATTGGGTTACAATTGATGGACAAAATGTTGACGTTAGGCATACTCATGTGAAGCAACTTTTTGCATATTATGATAACTAGGTTTTGTGAACTAAATCTTTGAATCAATGATGCTATGAAATCTATCTAGAATTCTTCTTATTTGTGTGGAAACACCCATAAAGGCTTGTATGTAGTATAGTTTGAAGTCAATGAATATTCTGAAAGAAAACTCTATAAAAAATTTAGCAAACATTTTCTATGTTGTAAAGTGATTTTGCCAATATGAGAAATGATCATTGACTTAAAACAAAATATATAGATAGTGTTGATTTGGGTTTATTGTCTTATTTTTTTATGGAATATTATACTATACATCGTTAATGGAGTTTTTAAACTCTAACAAGTAGAGTAAAATATTGTCAAGTTTTGTTATTTATTATATTAATTTATCAATTTTTTAATATATTTTAATGGAATATGTGACAATTCCCTAACTTTGCTAATAGAGTTTAAAATTAATATGAGTATTTATATATATCGATATGTATATGATTTATCTTATTTTTTATTTTTGGTTGTTGAATTATATGATTTAATGTAAAGAGGGATGAATTCTAGTAATATAGCACCAAGTATGAAAATTAAGGTATCTTAATTATCCATGGATTTTGAATTCATTTTCTACGTTTTGGTTGGAATTTAGTGTTAGTTTTATAGATTTGATTTCATTGTATATTCTTTACATTTCTTTTCTTCATGTTGATCAATTTGTTTTAGTTTTTTAAAGATACAAATTCTTTAACTTTGCTTCTTGGATTAAGATATTTGTTTTTTTTTTTTATTTTTATTTTATCTTTGATCCATTATTCTTTATGGATTGATGGATGGTGTTATATTCATTTGAATAAGGTATTTCCATGCTTTAGTTATAATTGTTTAGTTCACTGAGTTGAACTTATTTACTTATAATTGAACATTTTTATCAAATGATCGAAAATGGGAAGTTTACCAAAAAAATGTTTTATTTTTACTAAGACTTATTGATCAAGCTGTTGTATGCTTCTGAAGTTTCTTGCACAAAAATATATTAGTGCTTATGTTGTAACTTTTAACTCAAACTTGTATTTAATTTGAAAACAATGGATTAGTTTAGTTATATAAATATATATATATATAATCGTTAAATTAATTTGGTTTATGATGGGAAAAAGTTTGTCTTCGTTTGCTTTTTAACATGCTACTTGGTTTTATTTGAATAGTAATTTTGGTTATTAATTTCTTTTGCTATAGAAAATTTCAAGTTCCACAACAATGAAAAAAAGAATTGTTCTGATTCAGAAGAGAAAATATTCGAGATATTTAATCATAAATGTTAATTTTTTTTAAATTATTACTTTATATTAACTACACATATCACTCAAATTTTAAATTCAAATAAATATTAATTCAATAAAATGTAAAAAATTATTATAATAAATCAGACGAAACTGAGCCTCTTAACTAGTTTTACTTTAAAAGCTTCATGCAAATTGCTTCCCCCTAATTTATATCTTTCGCTTGAAATATTAGTACCACATATAATTATTACTTATTTTGTAAAAAGAAAAATATGTAAGTACTTTTTATTTAATACAAAAAGGAAAATAGAAAAAAATAATATGTTTCCAACTAAATTTTTTTTGTTATTCACAATGGCAAAGTTTTAAATTAAAAAAAAACTATTTTTTTACTTTTTCATTTACCAATATTGTATTTTTCTTTTTTCCATCAAAAGCATAAAAATACTAAAATCTTAAAACAAAAAAAGAGTATTTCACAAAAAAAAAAAAATCAGCAAAGAAAACCTTGCAATTTCAAAGAAAAATCTACGTATAATATCCAAATAAGTCTTCCATAATTACTTTAAAATACAAATAAATCCTTAATTTTTTATAACTTTTACTTTATTATAATTAGAATTTTGACAAGATAAAATATTCAAAATTTAAAATTTTTTAATTGGATGATTTAATTTGTAAAAAATATTTATTAAATTCATTTGAATGCATTAAATGACAAATATTTAAGAAAATATGTTTTTAAAAATTTATCAATTGGATATTATTCATCTAATTTTAAAATTTAATGAGTATAATTATAATAAAATAAAAATTTTATAATTTTAATTTCATGCAATAAAATATCGTGGGCTTATTTGTTTTTTGAAGAAAAGTTCAAGGGTGAATTTGCATATTAAGCCAAAAACTTAATATGTTACAATGCTAAATGACAGATGTGCCCTTATCGTTTATCTATCGCAATCTTCCCTTTGTTTTACATTCATTAATGTGCTGGGTTTTTCTTTTTTTTTTTTAATAAAATTTTCCTCTTCATTTGCAATTTTCATCAATTGTCGAGTTTTCTTCTTTCATCCTTCTTGTGCGAAAAAGGGTATTGTCATTTCAAGTGAATATGGGTAAAGCAGCGTTTGTTTTACTCTATTTTGGCTTCATATTCATCCTTTGTGAAGCCAAATCAATCAGACAGAAGCCTCAAGCTTTTGAGTCATTCAATGTCAGTTATATACAGGTACCATTACCAAATACCAACAATCGCTTGTCAATAAAATTCTCGTATCTATGTGTTTGATTTTGTTCTTATAAATGAAGTTTTTTTTCCCTTTCTTATGACAACATAAAAAATGAGGAAAGAACTTGGGGAGCTGTTCTTACTCGGTGATTATTTCAACGAGCTGTTCCTCAACCAGTTATACTCGAGATCAGATCAGTATCGCTTTTGGGGATGCTTATGGTAATCAGGTTCGTTTATTTATTTTTTCTTCTTTTATCCACTTTCTTTCACTATCATGGCTTTTCATGTTTTAGCCAATTTATTGCTAATTGAAAATTAATATGGGATGAGAGTTATTTCGGGAGAGATATTAGAGTTTAATTAGTTTTTGGAACAATGGAAATTGTCAAATTAGTGTTAATAACTCCAAGGGATGACTTTGAGTGGATCAAAGATCATTAATTTTCGTGAAATTTGTTTTGTTTTTCTGCTGAACTTGCTTTCAGCTGCTTGTGATAGCTGCTTAGGTTGATGTTATAGCAAGGTTTATAGATTGCTTTCGGCTGGATGGAAATTTGCAATTTTTGATAAAAGGGCAGAACTTTGTGTTTCATCTATATATCATCCATGGCATAAGGTTAATCTGTTTGCAGTGAAAGCATGTTGCAGAGGGATGAATTAGGCAAGGATAATACTTGTATTCTTAATATAATACATTATATGATCTCTTTGTCTTTTAGAAAGGGAAAAATTTTGCGTCTTTGATCAAATTCAAGTATGTTTTTGCATCTTGAAAATATGAAAGCATTCCCCATGGAGGTTTATTGGGTATTACCAAAAAAAATGAACGTGTAAAACCATCTTCACACTTTGGTATTTGAGATGCTTTGTGACATGAAACTGATATGTTGGAAAAGATAATGATTGTTTCCCCTGATAATCAGATATATGCACCAAGGTTGGATGATCCATCCACTAGGACATTTGAACGATGTTCTTCAGATACGTTTGAGATATATGGACCATGTGCATATCAGATCTGCTATGTCTATCTCTATCGTACTGGACCCGATGGTTGGAAGCCAGAGAGTGTGAAGATTTATGGTTATAATTCAAGGGCTGTTACCTTTTACTATGACACCTTCATTCCTGGCGGCAATTGGTATGGATTTAATTATTGCAACAGTGCTTCTACTTCGCATCGACAGATTGGCCAGAGATCATTCTTATTTATGATTCTTTTGTTTGTTCTCTGTGCACTCTTATAAGTAGGTCTTGGCAAAGTCCCTAATACCAATATTAGAAAAGATTGTAGAATGTGATATGAACTATGAAGTATGCACCACTATTAACATTGTTTTTTTTTTTTTCCTCTCAAGTATGATATTCAGTGCTAACTACAAACTCTTGGCACTGCAATCATTCCGGTTAAGAACGCTAGACTGTTGCATGTTGGTTACCAAACTGCATGTCTTTATGTTTATTGCAAATTTTGGAGGACAGTGATCCTCTCTTGGTGGAAAGGGTGGTGCTGGTTGGATATTATTTTTTCAAAACTGTATGAACAGCTGACATGTTGAGAAATAGCATGTAACGGAGTATTACTCTCAGTTTGTCTATAAACAGTAGCTGTATCATTTGCCCAGACGGCCAGAACTGTGTGATATTCGAAGACGGTCAATGAAACTTGAATCCAAGAGGTTGAGAGTTCACTCTCAGTGCACATTTTGGATATTGCAGCTACTGTATATTGGTTCCAAGAATAATGTTGTGGATGTTGCACAAAAGGAGAAATGTTGAGGAAGTTGATCAAAAACCTTATGTTAATTTGCAATTTAGAGATTTGGTTGTCTGAACTATTCGGTTCAATCACTAGCCATAGGTTGCAATGGAGATGTTTCCATAAACCATTAACAACAATTGTTTCCACAAACTGCAAGCATAAGAATGATATACATGGATTGATCAATTAAATGAGGTATTGTTAATTGTTTTATTTTTATTTAAAATGAATTAAAATGGATCATGGTTTGGTTAATTGTTTTATTTTTATTTATTTTTCTTTAAAAAATAAAATAAATAATAAACGCATCAACAAAATAAAACCTTAATATGTTTCAGACATTCAAGATAAAAAAATATGAAATCCAAAACTTATATCCAAAATGGGTTCGGCTTTTTTGGCCGACGGCCTTCTTGGGGGTGTTCTATTTGGTCAATTTAACGGCAAACAGCCAAGTTAAGTAGGGTTTCACATCGAAGTCGAGCACACCGCCAAAGCTATAAGATCGCAAAACCCTAACCCTTTTTTGTTTCTCTCTCCCTCCTGCTCCTGCATTTTACTGCGACATACTTCTGCAGCAGGAGAAAAAAGCTCTCTGTCTCTTTCATATCCTCTAATTTGTTTTCTCTATATATCTCTTCAAAGGTTTTGATTTTTAGTTTATAACAACCTAATTTAAAATGCCTTCTTTAGCTTTATCTGATATCAAAGAGAAGAAAGAAGAGAAAAAGATGAAGAAGAAGGTTGCTCTCGAAACTCCAGAAACCGAGAAGAAGATGAAGAAGCTGAAGGAACCGAAGGTTAAACAAGAGGAAAATGATTCGGAGGTGAAGAAGAGTAAGAAGAAGCGAAAGGCGTCGGAGCTCCACCTGGAAGAGGAGGAGAGGAGCGAGACAAGCTCGGAGCTTGTTGAGCCGGTGGATGTGAAGGAGAAGAAGAAGAAAGAGAGCGAAAGTGGAGGAAGAGGAAGAGGAAGATGAAGGGAAAAGTGAGAATCCCAATGCGATTTCGAGGTTTCGGATTTCGGAAGCGGTTAGAGAAAAGCTAAATTCGAAGGGGATTGAGTCGTTGTTTCCTATTCAGGCAATGACTTTTGATATTATTCTTGATGGCACTGACTTGGTTGGACGCGCACGAACCGGTCAGGTATAATCTTCGTTTTGATTTTTTTTTTCCAAACATTCGTGCACTTATTTTATTGGCTGCCAATTTTCTAATAGAATTTTACCGTTTGATATGATTGTAGTTTGATAGGAACCATGGATTTCTTATGAATGTTCAAGGTTTTTATCTGATAACTATGCTGTTATTGATGTGACTATCAACTCCATAATTTTGGGAATGCTGTTGATATAGCTTATGAAGGAAACTTGTGTTACAAAAATCTCATATGAAATGCATGGTTTAAATCATATTCTCTTTTTGCCTAATTTTGAAGTTTAACTTTGATTAATATATTATGGATGTCAAGCTATGTTGGCTTGACCGATATTGGTTAATTCAATTCAAACCATTGTTGTGTGACTGTTTCTAGAAAGTTCTCTTCTTAATTAGCTCATTGGCCTTGTTTGCTATTTTATAGGGTAAGACACTGGCCTTTGTGTTGCCTATATTGGAGTCTTTAACAAACGGCCCTGCAAAAACATCCAGGAAGACTGGATATCGAAGGGCACCAAGTGTTCTGGTACTTTTACCAACCAGGGAATTGGCTAAACAGGTATAGCCCTATGAATCTAATTCTCTAGACATCAGATTCTTTGATTGTGCCCTTCTTTTGTCTGACGTTTATGATAATTAACCTTTTGTTTCTAGGTTTTTGAGGACTTTGAAGTTTATGGCGAGGTGTTAGGGTTGACATCATGCTGTTTATATGGAGGAGCTCCTTAGCAGACTCAAGAGATGAAACTAAAGGGAGGGGTTGATATAGTTGTTGGGACACCCGGCCGCATAAAGGTAATCTGTTGCCGTTATTCATCCAAGCGGTTTTGCTAGTTTTAGAGATGTCATTAAATTCTATACTTTTTAAAAATACCCAATTATTTGATGATATTTGATGTCCCATTGATTATATGATGATATTCGATGTCCCACTGCAAATGATGCAGGATCACATAGAGAGGGGGAATATTCACTTAGGCTCTTTGAAATATCGAGTTCTTGATGAGGCAGATGAAATGCTGAGAATGGGATTTGTTGATGATATTGAACTTATATTAGGCATGTATTCTGCAAATGCTATTTTTTTTGGGTGGTACAAGTTTTGTATATGAACGTTAGAGAAGTAGAATACATTGTAATGTTGTGCACAGGCACAGCTGTGCCTTTGTTCCAATTATTGATACCATTGATCCCTGTGTGCATGATTTTGCTGTCTGATTTGCTTATGTTAACGGTTTTAATTTTCCAGGCAAGGTAGAGGATGCAAGTAAAGTTCAGACACTTCTTTTTAGTGCTACCTTGCCGGACTGGGTGAAGGGTGTATGTTTCTTAACCATTTTATTCATTGCAGCATTTCTATTAGCTCGGTTATCTGCTCCATCTTTGAGAACATGAATTAAAAATGTAAATTGGATATTGTTCCTCTTCATTTACCCTTCTGATCAAAATCTCTTTTTTTTTTTTTTCATTGCCAGATTTCTGCAAGGTTTCTTAAAACAAGCAAGGAGACTGTTGATCTTGTTGGTAATGAGAAGATGAAGGCTAGTACCAACGTTAGGCATATTGTCCTGCCGTGTTTTAAGTCGGCAAGGTCGCCGCTGATCCCAGATATTATTCGTTGTTATAGCAGGTTGGTTTCTAGTTTTAAAATAACCATTAATGGTACAATTTAGATTTCTGTTTGATGGGTTGGCTGAGTCATTTTCTTCATTTCTCCTCTTTGTCAACGGATATGATTCAGTGGTGGACGTACTATTATATTCACTGAGACAAAAGATTCTGCTTCTGAGCTTGCTGGCTTGTTGCCTGGATCCCAGGCTTTGCACGGGGACATACAGCATGCCCAACGTGACGTAGGGTGTTATTTAGAGTATATGTATCATTTTTCATGCTTTCCTAAAGCAAAATAAACTCTGTTGTTTTACTATTCTCATTTTGGTATGAGCTTGCAGGTTACCCTTAATGGGTTCTGGTCAGGCAAGTTCTTGACATTAGTGGCTACAAATGTGGCAGCACGGGGATTAGATATCAATGATGTACAGTTAATTATCCAGGTATGTTTGGATACACTTGTTTTACCAAAGTTTATGATGTGTTTTTGATTCCTTAATGTTTATATACCATTACTTCTATTTCAGTGTGAGCCTCCACGTGATGTAGAAGCATACATTCATAGGTCTGGATGAACAGGGAGAGCAGGTATATGATAATTTAGCTCTTCTTTTTTCTTTTGCTATTGAGAATTTGATAAGATACTGAGAGTTACTAAAATTTCAGGCAACACTGGAGTTGCTGTCATGCTTTATGATCCTAAAAGGTTGAACATATCTAAGATAGAAAGAGAATCTGGTGTAAAATTTGAGCACATATCTGCTCCTCAGCCTGTGGATATTGCTAAATCTGCTAGTGTAGAAGCAGCAAAAATAATAACCCAAGTCTCTGACAGGTATTCTTGCTAATACTGTTCTTTGATCTCTTCTTTGTATGTTGTCAATTAACCTCTATGAGATTACAGTGTAATTCCTGCCTTCAAGAATGTAGCTCAGGAGCTATTGGAAACTTCTGTTCTATCAGCAGAAGATCTACTTGCCAAAGCACTAGCCAAGGCTGCAGTGAGTTCTCTTCCTCCCCCATAACGGACCTGTTGATTCTCTTCATATTATGAATGCTAACTTTCTGGTGTTTGTATTGTATAAGTAATAATTTAACTCTGGTTTCCATTTTTGGTTGAAAAGACCTAATTATTGCATGATTTTAGGGTTATTCTGAGATAAAGAGTAGATCCCTTCTAACGTCTATGGAGAACCATGTTACATTACTTCTTGAAGCTGGAAAACCTATTTACACACTTTCGTAAGTTCATGAAACTTTCCTCATTTGTTTATCTTTGTAATTGATATAGAATCTGTAAAAAAGAGATAGATAATCACTAGCAACTCAAGGACTTGAAAATTCTTGCAAACAATGAATTATATACTTAAATTTCAAATATCAAGATGTCTCAGTGTCTCAATAATCTCAATAAATAGAAAAGCTACTGAGAATTGAAATAGCAGATTTTTATATGGTATCCAAAACCCTAATTAATTAACCTAAAATCCAGTAAGTATGAATGTTGAATGAGTTGAATCTATGAAATACAATATTATATGAGAATCAAGTCCTAAATACTTCTTGGACGATACAATTCCTCTTTTATCATCCTTTTCTGCATCAGTAATTATTCTCATCTTCTCTTGTAAAAATTATTTATTTATTTTTACCTTGGATAAAATAACTAGTTGGTTTGAGGAACTTTTTGATGTGCACCATTAATTTTTATTTTTTGCTACTGAGCAATCTAAATTCGATTAATTCATCCTGACCCCATTGTTTTCATGTATTAGATTTGTTTTTGGTGTCTTGAAAAGATTCATGCCTGAGGAAAAGGTTCAGTC